AAAAAACAAATAATTATAATAAGGATGTACTTATAAAAAGTTAAATTAATATATTTTTAATAAGTTAAAATCTAATAAAAGTATAAATTTTATAAGTGTAATTATATTTAATGTGACTATAACGAGGACTAACTGTATTAATTAATTAAAACATATATATATATATTCGAACAAAATTGACTTTTAATTAATTTTTATTTATATATATTATATGAAAACATATTAAATACTATATACTATACTTTTTTTATATCGTATACTCTGTTTAGTTAATCTAATTTTTTTTAATATAATAACAACGATATTAGTTAATTTAAAATTCTTACATAATATCAACAAAGATAAGTCGGTTTAATCGATAGACATGTATTATTTGTGTTATAATTATGTAAGCTTACAAAAAGAACTTAGATTACTACAAATAAAGAATAAAAATCATTAATCAAAGCGTTTTTTTTTTAGAATTTAAACCGAATTGAATTTTGATAATGAAATTTTTAATTGTGTATAACATACATAGTATTTGTAAATTATTGTTATTGAATTACTATTTTAGTTTGAAGCCTATAACCCCTGAAAATCGCAAGGTTCTAGGTTTGATAATTAAATCGGGGTTTTTTTACTAATTTAAGCACAGTGGATCAGTTGACGATCTGACTAAAATGACGTAGATTGGCATTTAAGTTATCACTTGTTTTACCGTTACTGTATATACCATAACGCCATAATTATTATCGTGGTAGATGCCGAAATATTGAGTCTCGATCGTCTCTATCTGGAAATATAATCCACTTGTTTTTCATTAATGACTTTATCATTATAAACTCTAAAAAAAAAAAACCTCACCTAAATGTCCCCTCCTAAATGGTTTAAATTCCCAATTCCAGTTCCAGTTGTGACAATTATCTACGCTGTTATCACCATTATCACTATTATCATCACTATCGTTATAATCGCCTCTTTCTATATCTTTCTATAGACATTTTTATTTTATTTTATTTTATTATTATTATTATATTAAGATGTCTTGTTTAACAAATCTAATTCTAACCAATTTTATTGGCTCGAGATTTGAATTTTGAATGCAATTAAAGAAACACGAATCTTGTTCGTAATTTAGTTTATAATTTGGTTAAACACAAACCACCAATTAGACTAAATTTATTTTCGAAAGTTTTTGTAAAAGTTTTTTCTTTCGTTACATTCGTATATGTTGGCACGCACATTTGGATAATTACACCATAAGTGAATGATGATTTCAACAATAAATGTGAATAACTGTGAATAAATGCGAATAAATGCGAATAAATGTGTTAAAAATTTCAATTTACTGGAGGGAATATTCGAGCTTAAGCACCGAAATTATTATCAGTAATCAATAAATGCTAATGAATGATTGGTAGTAGATAACCTATATCAGATATAAATTTTTCTGAACTTTAAACTTACGCGTGTTGTAGACAAACAAACATCCCAATGAAAATTGATTGGAGCTATGACCAACGCTAACCTAATGCGGGCTAATGAGAGATAACGTGTCAGAATTTTGACCTTATCATGATTTTATTTGTCGAGATTTTGATCGGCTCCCGTTGTGGCTTGCATTAAAATAAAAACCAGTTCACAATAGCTTCGGAAGTTTCATAATGTATCTGAATTATATTGATAACACTAAAATGTTTTTACAAGTCACCTAATTGAATTAACAAATTGAATTAACGGAGAGATTATATCGCTTTTGCTTTAAAGAGATTGGTTTCTCGATCTGCAAGGTTTAGTTTCAATTTGTGTATGACTACATCATTTTTTTTATCTTTTTCAATTGTTTTTTATCGAGAGTATTCTTTTGTTTTCATTGGCAAGCTAATTGTTATGATGTACAATATTATTTAATACGATCTAGAAGGAGGTATTTCGGACATGACCGAATTATTTAATTGCTCGACTGCCCAATTTGGATCATTAATTAAGGTCACGTGAAAGCGAAAATATTTTTTACACTATGCAATAATAAAGAAGGTCAAATATTTTAGATATTAAAGAAAAACTTTCGGGAACTTAATTTTATAAATGATGTCTTTAATGAGAATATATTGATTACACGAATGTTATACAAGACGAATGTGGTAAATATTTTATTCGGACCATTCGAAAGTTTCGAAGGTTTCGAAGGTTTTGGATGGTTAGTACAAGAGAATATCAATCATAAAATCTTATAGTATTAATGTAACTTGATTTAATTTATAACTGATAACCTTGATAACGAGAGATATATATCGTGCATAAAAATGATAAAGATAAAATATTCTGCATACACATACACAAACTTTATAAATAAACGATTAATATTCGATCCTTGTTTTCCCTTTCATTCCAATTTTATCAATTTTTATTATAATAGAATATGGTAGTATATTTGTACTCCAATTGAAACATTCATGATAAACTCAAAATAGAATTGATCGTATCTTATCGAACGCCATTTTTTTTTTTGTTTGTTGAACCAAAGATTTTTATTTATTAATCATCGTTGTTTTTGTTTTTCAAACCAAATTCTTTATTATATTTTGTGATTTTATCGTAATAATTGTAATAATTGTAATAATTGTAATCATTGTAATGTATTATGTAAAGAAAACCTAAGCAATTATGTATAAAGTAATCGCATAACATTAATACAAAATTTATATTGTTACATACGCGAGTTTAACGTTCGACCAACAAATACAATTTTTTTTCGCCATTAAACCAAACAAGTAATTATGTGATCTTTTAAGAACCAATCATGAAACATAAGTAATAGATAGAGAATGATAAAAGAGGTTTATTGAAAGCGACTGACAGCTATTTTAGGTTTGAGTGGGCCCAAAGATTACCTAATTATGATTGAAAATATTTTCATTTTTGAAAGAAAAGATTCTATTACATTTGACATGCATAAATTATAAAATATATTGTTCTAGAATCGAGGATAAGAAATTATATGATTACATAACACAAAACCATGTGTAAGTAAATATCACATCCAATTTTGTAACTTAAAAACATGGTCCAATAATAATCAAACCAAATCTGAAATGCATTTATTAAATTTTTTTAGCATATATAATTAAGATATAAAATTATCCGAGACCAAGCCTTATTGTAACATTAATATTGAAGTAAATTCGTGATACTAAAGTATTATTGCAGTTAAAATCATATGATGTAAAGCCAAAAATAATAACGCCGGTTTAATAATGGACCCATTAATTTGAATATAGTTCCAATAACTAGAATTAAGGTTAGAATCTTTTAAAATATCGAGTTTTGATCAAGAAGGCAAGATTAAGGAAAATATTGGCTAGCCATAAGGGGCGATTATAGAGAAACTTTAATCTTGGTAGATCTTACACAGGTCTGACTCAGAGACAATGATTGTTATTATTTTAGCCACGCGATAGTACTGATAATACAGATAATACGTGACAAAGGTGACTTTTGGTGAAATAGAAATTTAAATGTACATATTAAGTAATTAACGGTTGAAAACCATTCTAAACTAGATATCGGATAACACCAAGAACGGAAAGGTTTTAAACGATGAATTTTCCCGAAAAGTGGTTGAACATTATGTGATACATACATATCTGGACCGAAAATTTCCGATATAGAATTTAAGTCATTCGGTATGGTAATCGAATTCATTAAATTAAAGGAGAAACATGATTTTAATAAAATAAAATGAAGAAAAAAAAATAACCCCTTAATTTTTACAACTCGTTGCGCGATCATCATAAGTCAATTTCTTTAAAGAGTTTAATAAATGAATTCAATAATTTCATTTTCATTATCTGCAAACCCATACATACTGTATATGCGTTATGTGCGTATGATCATTGCTGTTTTAGGAGAAATGTATGGGCGGGCGGAGTTTGGTCTTATCGCCCGAAATTCCCAAAAACGAAATGACAAAAATTACAAAAATTGAGCATATTCATGATAAAATAAGGATTGATTTTCAACCAAAAATTTTAGCCAACCAAATCCGGCGACATAAAAATTTCGTGTTTATTGTTATTTGGCAAAATTCGGACAAGTTACCTTTTAGATGCCAATTTGGACGTTCCAGAAAATTGGTATGTTGCAAGTTGGTTTATGATATTCGGCATCCAAAAAAAAAAAAATCCGATTTTATTCCAAAAAGATGAATAATCATATGATATTTGAAATTTGAAGTTGTCAAAAAAAAAGGGTTGAATATTATTATGAATGTGAAGTTGTAATGTAGTAATAAGTAACTTTTTGCAGTCTAAAAATCTTAATAATATTTTGAATAAACTAGAATAAACTGACTGGTAACCCACGCATATTACACTTTTAACCCGAAAAGTTCCGAATATACAAGCATTTACGATGTAAAACTCAAGTCCCTGTATTAATTTCCATCCTTGGATGTGTATGCGCCAATTTTTTTTTTTTTACTTTACGCACATCCGTTAAAAATTCTCAACATTGTAAATAAACAAACATAAACAAGATTAACAAAAAATATACTAGCTTATCTTGAAGGCTCGTGCGCAAATGCGCAATTTGAATCTCGATCAAATAAATATATTCGGTAAAAACACTTGAGTTTCACCCATTGTACTTATTCTTCACTTCCATTATCTCATTTTCCATATTTCACTTGCCATTATTCTCACTTATTATTATTTCATTAATAATTCCGTGATTGTCCAAATTTCCAAAATGGTAATAAACAATATTACGCAATTCTATTTTTCTTAACTTTATAAGTAATTCATTCGTTTCATGTGGACCTTTATTTTTCCATTAACGTGCCAAATATAGTATTAAACTTTTTTTGAACCGAATATTTCTACGCACCACGAAACAATCCGAATTTTTCCATTAGCATTTTACATAACAAAAAATTGATAATACAATTATACGTGTTTTGAAGATCGTCAAGTTAACCGTTAAGAAGAACGCATTAACAATAATCAAAATTTATTAAGCTAAGTGTACCAAATTAATTCCTTTTTATACGAATAAAACCGAATATCGATATCAATACAGGTATCAATACAGATATCAATACAGATATCAATACAGATATCAATACAGATACCTGATAAAGTTTCATCTTTGTTATTTAAGGTTTTTCTTTAAGAATATGCATTATGTACATTGTTTAATTTTAAATAATGCACAATAACGAGATTTTAAGCTTTTTAATATTACCATTAATTTGTTTACTTGTACTGTATATAGTCAAAAGTTTCACAGATTAATGATCATTACCTCCTTAAAAACTTTAACGTTAACGTAAGTATGCAGAGTAATAGAATAAAGTTTTGATTTTATTAACATTATTTTTTTTTTTTTGTTCTTTACTAAATCATATTATGACGTTCAAATAATATAATCATCATCGATATGAACTTAGTATTTTCATTATCGCCCAAATATCTTCCAAATAACTACCCCAAGAATTTTTTTTTTTTTTTGTTTTTATAATTGAATGTCCTTTCACATTTTTAAAACCGTCCAAAAGAAAAAAGAAAAGGAAAAAAAAAATATATATCAGAGGAAAAAAAAAATAGAAAAATGTTTTAAACCATATTCATACGAAATTTTATAAATCTATGTTTGAATTTTTTTTTTTTTGAAAAAAAAAAGTTTATAACGAAAATTTACGATTTAACCTTAAAAAAAAGTGATTCCTATATATAAAAACCATACCAATAAAATAATGCCATAGAAAAAAAAAAAAAATTAAGAACTGTTAATCGCTAATTTAAAAAAGGCGAAGATATAAAGTATCGGAAATTCTCGGAGAATATTATTGAACTTTTAGTGCGTATATTTGTATACGTGACGTGCGTAAAAATATATATACATGTACATATATATATATATAACTCGATGTATATATATATATATATAAAACTCGTTAGAGCAAGCATCAACATTAATTATTTATATACTGATCCCGATACCGACAAAGTGCCAAGAGTGATTTATCCTTTTTCCTTTTTTTGCAATGCCAGTCTAAAATCGAAATAAACAAATAAAATCAGTTATATTAATACGTAAACGTTAAAGATTAACATTGACATTAATTTAAAAGATCTACACTATGTATAATATATATATTCTATATACGTACTACGTATCTATCGTTATCGTTATTTACTATAACAGATAACTATATTTTTTTATAATAATATATTTTATTAAAAATATATTTTAAAAAAATTTTACTCACCTAATAATATTATAATTATCCATTGGTAACGATAATTATTATTTAAGTACTTCTCGATAAAAAATATTGAATATAAGAAAACAATGCCAATCTTTTTTTTTTTTGCTTTTTTTGTTTTTTTTTTTTTTTTACGAATTAAAAAAAAAAATTTTTTATATGTAATTTTTTTTTTTATTTTTTATTATTATTTTGGTTTGTTTTTTTTTTTCAAGATGAGATTGTACAGTACATTAATATGACCAATGGTATTGTGTTGTAGGCGTCCTTCTTTGTGTTGTATTTGTATGATGATTATGATGATGATGATTATTATGTGTATGTGTCATATCTCCATCATCACTCAACATTGGAACGGAATTTTCGCTTCCAATTCCTCCAATTTGTGATATTCCAGCTAATCCTCCCGAAATTTCTGTTCCTGTAACATAACTTCCTCCAATACTCATATTACTAGACATATTATTAGATGGTGGACTTGTATTATTAGATGCTAAATAATATTGTCTAGATTGTGATGGATGTTGTGGTTGTTGTTGATGTTGAGCTTGTGAATATTGTGAATATGTTATCGATGGGAGGGAATTTTGAAATGAATACATTGATGATGCTGATGTTGTATTAGTAGCTGGTATTGCAGTTCCAAGTGGTGGTAATGATGATGGCATAGTTAACGAAGACGTCGCATTTCTACCTATGGTTAGTGATGACGTAGACGATCCTGTAGAATTTCCTATAACTAATAAAGCCGATGGATCACTAGAATTTGGTGAAATTGCATTCTGTGAAGGTGTATGATGATGTTGTGATTGTGACCATTGATAATGTCCCCACGTAGAAACATTTGAAACATTAGAAACATTTGAAACATTAGAAACATTAGATACATTTGAAACATTTGAAACATTTGTAGGGTTTTCGTGTTGTCTTGATTGAGTAGAAGGTTGTTGTTGACTATGCTGCGAATGTCCGTATTGAGATGAATAATTATCAACCATTAACAATGTTGAATTTCCTATTGAATTTGATTCATGTTTATTTGAATTTATTGGATTTATCGGTGGTGGATCTATTGGTGATAATGATGCTGGCGATGTAGCAAAAACTGATTGACGTTGTTGTTGATTTGTTTGATGAGTTTGATGCGATATCCAATTTGTTACCGGTGATATTGGTGAATATTGTGGTGACCTTGTTGATACTGTATGTGGAAGCATGCTGATAGTCGGTTGTTGAATTGATTGCGTTTTTGTTGCTGCTGAACTATCATTGTTCATATTATTATTACTATTATTATTATTACTATTATTATTATTAATGTTATTATTAATGTTATTATTATTATTATTTGATCTGATGCCTCCTTCTGTTGTTGTTGTTGTTGATAAAGTTTCGTTACAATTCGCAAACTTGTTAGAATTACAAGAAATTGATGCCAAAACAGTTTTGGCAACTTCCAATAATTTCTCATCAATATCTACCATATTCTCTAATTGAGATGTGAAAATCGCAACCAAATTTTTTATACCCGAATGTATATATTGTAATGATGTTATACCGAGCATACTTTGAAATAAGTTGAGAGTATGTATAACATTATTTTTAGCTTCAGTTGCACGCATTGGTTTCTTGAGATTTAATATATGAATAAATCCTGCATAAAGTACGCAATGATTAATAAATGGGGTACTACTAATCATGATCAAGAAATTCTTATTTATAGATGTTGTGATAATATTTGCTGCGTTTGCACAAATTGTCATGCTGTGATCTGACGTAATATTGATATAGTGAATTCTAATCATTGCATAATTATAGAGAATGCATAAATAGATCCGGAGGTGTTCAATTGTTATTTCCGTCGTTAAAGATATCGTCAATGGAACACAATTTTCTATTCGTAAATATGGTGGTAATTCTTTTTCCCAATTCTTTAATTTTTCTTCTAATCTTGTCGTTATATTTTCAATATTATTATTAATTTCAAATAAATTATATTCTAATATTTCATACATTATTTTAGTAATTTTATAATAGTGTATGAAATATTCTGTAGTTTTTGATTCAGAATCGTCATGAGCAAATAATGATTCAAATTCGGGAAAATCAATTGTACAATATTTATCTGAGATAGTTGGAACGCGGTTAAGGGTCATTGATTGCAGGTTATTGACAATCATAATACTCCACCATAACTAGAATAATAATATTATTATTATTATTAAAATTAATAAAATTTTAATAAAAAAAATTAATTAAAATTCATATTATAATAAAAAATTTTAATAAATAAAATTAATTAAAATTCATATTATAATAAAATTTCGATTAAAAAAAAATGATGATTACTCTTTTTCTGGCTTCTTTTTCATTAGTGGACAAACCTTCGGATGCATTCTTATCTTGTAATCTCATTGCGGTAGCAAATGTTGTAGCCATTCCAATGTAAGTAATACCTTTAAAACTTCGTGAATCAATCATTCCTAATAGAAGAAGTGCGGTAGCGGTACTTAATCTTGGATAATTAAGATTTTGGCTAATCATGTCTAGAATCATGTAAATGCAGTAAATGTAATGGGTAATGTAGTAAATGTAATGGGCAATGTAGTAAATGTAGTAAATGTAATGAGAAATGTTGTAAATGTAATAGGAAATGTTGTAAATGTTTCAAATATGGTAAATGTGGTAAATGTAAATATGTAGAAATTGAGGTAATTGTGGTATATTTAATAAGTGGTAAATTTAAGTGATAAATTTAAGTGATAAATTTAAATGGTAAATTTAAGTGGTAAATTTAAGTGGGGAAAAAGAAAAAAAAAACAGTTTATAGTTTAGTACTTGAACACAATTGCCACACTATATATATTTATCCTTCTAATTCATTTTAAATATTCTATCCAGCTTTTGGGTTTTAAAATTCCAAATATTATTATCTAAAATAAAGATATTACCTTGAGCTTGTTCATAATATTCTAAACCGAGAGAGTGAGAATCTTTTCTAATCAATGAATCATCTAAATAATTTGAACCTATCGCGCAAACGGCATATAATAAGATACGTGGCATTGATTTATTTGCATCTCTAAAACTATCAATAAAATACGTTTTATGTAACACTGGAAATGTAGGATGAAAATTATCGAAATACGAGGTAACAAATCTATGAGAAAATTCATCTAATTTTTGAGTGTCATGTACATGAGGTCTCGAAATTGATTCTTTTTCATCCTGTAATTGTGATATATAATGACCAAATTGTTGACGAACTTGATCTTCATTTTGTAAAGACATAGAAGAAAACAATTTAACCAAATATTCAAGATCATTATCAAGTATAGGTAATACTTGAGGAATAATTCGATTTGAGTTTGTGTTTGTATTCGAAGAAGACGTGACGATAGAAAAAGACGTGCTTGTGGAAGAGGTTGCTTTTTTTGTAGCTTTCGTACTCTGATTAGATTGAGAACCTCTTCTTTGACGAGACGTAGACTGCTGACTATTTGCCGCAGATGTGGATTTCGAACGAGTAGGGTTACGATTAGACTGTGAAGAGGCGTTTGTTCTAGTAGAAGATGCTATCTGAGATTGATTGGTATTTGCGCGGCCTGCGTTCTTTCCGTATGTGCATTCTAAACCAACAGAAGTGCAATATTTACAAGGTAAATGATTATAACCATCTCCATCGCATTTAACCTTTTAAAAAATGAAATAAAAGAAAAGATTATTAATCATTAATGATTAATTATGGATTATTAACTTTTTTTAAACTTTTAAATAATTGATCTTTTGTGAAAAAAAAAATATTTTTAAATATTTTTAAATTGAATATTAATAAGATTTTTTTGTACCTTTCTCCGCCGGCATCTATCACAAGCTATTGTTTTTAATCTTTTTTCGCGTGAAGTAGCAGCATCTACAGACCCTGAGGTTGGTCTTTTACCAGGATTTGAAGTAGTATTAGTCATTTGATTAAAAACTTGAACCTCTGTAGTTAGTCTTAAAGTATTGTTTTTGCTTATTCTCTAAAACTCTACGGCCAAGTTCCTTTTTTTTTTTTTTTTTTTTTTTTTTTTTTTTTATCATTCAAAGGAAAAAAAAGAAAAAAAAAGAAAGTTTCTAGTTAGTTGAAAGTGAAAAAAGAAAATGTTCTTCATTAAAGACATGGAACAATTGATTAAAAGACAACCATTCACGAAAGATTCATGATAGTAATTTAAACTTACCTGTTTTTGATTATTTATTATGAGATTAATACATAAATCATATAAATATTAATATAATAATTATAAACGATTCCTTTTCATAATTTTTTTTTATTTTATTTGTAAAATTTTTTTTATATATATAATTATGTGCTTTACATGCCTTTTATAAAAATTTAAAAATTTTTATTTTATGTTAATAAAATAAAAATTTTGTACGCATGTGCTACACTTCTGTATATCACAATATTATAATATATATATATATATATATATATATTATTATATATATATATGTATATTATGTGTATAGAATAAAAATTTTTTTTTTATATGTGTATTTGACCTTTAATATATTATTTTTAGATATAAACTAACCAAATAGTTGTGCTAGTTTGGGGGATCACAAATGGATGTACCCTAGTATATAGTATGTATAATCTTTAATGCTAAAAAATTGATGACAAATTTGACTACGTAACGGCAAAAGGCTCAACATTTGTTAAGCTGTCAAATAATTAACAGATCGATTGATTGACATTGTTGTCTACTTTTTATATTTCGTTTATTATTAATTTTATATAAAAGAGCACGTGAAAAGATGCATACCCAAATGGACAGACCGTTTTTTTCGTTAAATGTTTGGTCATAGATAATGATGCATTTTTTTTTTCAATATATGTTATATATTGTTTGTTATAGAACCAATATCAAGAAACTATTTCTTTTTGCTTATAATTTCATTTTCATTTATGAGGTGCGTTTTATGTAACAAAAATTGGGAGACCAATAACATGTACTATATTCACGATCAAGCATAATGAATGATATAGAAAATTTATAAAGATCTTTGTTGATTCTTTCATAAGAGCGTTAATGTAATCCCCGCCAAAACGCATACATTATTTTTAACACCCTTGTATAATGCATATTAACAATTATTGGTTCAATATCCTTGAATATGCACAAACTTTTATGTACATAAACATTTACGCGTGAAATATTTATTTATCGGATCTTATGAATGAACATCTTCAAAGAAATATTTAACTTTCTCTCTGTTATATTATCTTTAAATAACAGAATAATTAATAGAATAAATGGATCAGGTGCTGGAAAAAGGGCCGAAAATGACAAAAAGAAGATTTTCGGAAAATCAATTGTTATATTATAAATCTTATAATAAATCATGTTATACTACAAAATTTTATTAATACAACTACTTTTCGTATTTTAAGTAAAAATGATCCTAATTTTATTCTAAATTGATTTATGTAAAAAAAACTCGTAAAAACTGTCATCTTTCGGCCCTTTTCCCAAATTATAGAATAAATAACTAATAGAATAATAATAGAATAATAATAGAATAATAATAGAGTAATAATAGAATAAAAAATGGGAACTAATAATAACAGAAATTCATTCTCAATTTTTTTATATCAAAAAAATTTTCGAAAATGTGCTATCTAAATGAAATATAGGTAATATGAGTGGATCTCTGATATTACGAACCCATTTCTCTATTTGGATTTTTTCAATTACTTATGTACAAAACATCTGCGTAATGAAGCAAATTTAAACTATTCTTATGCACATTTGTCATTGTAGTATTAATAAACCAATCATATTATTTGTGTAATAAACTATTTTAACGATATATTACAGTATTATCAAAAAAATATATATTTCAATAACAGTACGTTACGTCAAAGTAACTAACTATGCATTGCATATTAGGGTAATCTACATGATCCACGTTTATCATTAACACAGAAAAAAAGACGTACGTAAGTATGTACATACATAATCTTTATACAAATACAATTACGTATAATTCATTACATTTCACTGGTACACTCGTAAGACAACCAAATTATCGTATGTACGTGGTGATAATATCTGATATGGATATTGAATTTTAGCGTAGTGAAAATATTAATATCGGATATTGGTATTATCGTTATTATCGTTATTATCATTACGTATTATTGTTATTATCGTTATATGGTTATACTAATTAATCCAACTATTAACGTTAATCAAATTTTATTAACTACCGATTTCACGTCATTTCATCACGCAATGCGTCAATTTAGCATGTTATTAGTTATAGGGATCTATTTTTAGTAATTGTCACGTAGTGTGATATGATGGCGGCAAAATGACTTACCGATCATTTCATTCATAATTATTATTACTGTATATTCGCTGTGTATATTTGTGTATATTTGTAGTATATTCATATTCGTAGTTGATAGCATTCACATCCAGATTATATTCGTAGTTAATAGCATTCACATTCATAGTAATATTCATAGTGGATAACATTCATTCAAAATAATATTCATAGTGGATAACATTCATTCATAGTTCATAGTGTATAGTAAATTCATATAATATATTAATAATAAATAATGTATTTATAGAGATATTCATAATAGCAAAATAACAAGCATTTTTGATTATGGACACGTTGATGATGCGGTAATCTGTTCCAAGGTATTTACGTTGTATTTACACTAAACCAAATATACTTTGCCAAAATTTCTTCATATAATTCGTTCAAAAATGTGTTTCAGATGGGATTTCACAAATTATTATTATTATTATTATTAATTATTATTTTTAATTATTATTATTTATTATTATTTTCTTACATATTATTTTATTAATATTAACATTATTATTATTATTATTATTATCACAGTGTCATTATTACTCTAATTATTAGTTTATAAATATTACGTACATTATTTGATTGATATGGTTCAAATCCTAAATTCCAAATCGTTACAATATTTTTCTGTCGTGTTTCTGTTATTAATTTTTTTGTTATTAATAGAAAAAAATATAAAAGACGAAGCCATGAACAATTGAATGATTGTTATTTTTAACTTACACGAAATTGTTTTGTAATAACATTAAAAAAAACATTATATATATATATATATATTTATTTAATAGAATTTTAATAAAATTTTAATAAAATTTTATCATTTTGCGCATATGCGTTTGTAACGCACCCATAAGATCAGGTGTAACGTGAAATCAAAACAAACCAATTAACGCATTAATTTAGGGTAAGGACCAGATTTAAGATAGATCAGAATTAAAGTAATGATAAAAATTATTCTTATAACAAAAAAATTTTGCAAGGAAATTTTTTAGAACGCGAAAAATAATTTCATAAACAAAATTATGAATTATGAATTATTAAAAAATCGTATATTTTTCTTTCGATTTCACGTTACACCCGATCTTACGATCTGATTGGTTGATCAGGTGGGTGCGTTACAACGCACACATGCGCTAAATTACATAAACCTTTTAAATAAAAATATTTTTGTTAGGTGTAATCTTTCACTCGTGATTTTATACCATTAAAATTTTAATTTCCTCATTTTTCCATGGTTGCATAAAAAAATAATAATAATGTATCCATTGAGTCCGGAACCGCTCGGACGAGTTTGGTATGTTGGATTTTTATTTGTTACAATTTTATACCTGATGAGTCATGATTTATTTATTTTTGAACTAATCAAAAATTCATGTTCAAAAAATTTTGCATAAAAATATATCACAAAAAAAAAAAAAAATTTGTTTCCTGTATGTCCATATGATGATGGAATTTTTTTTTTTTTTACACTTTTACATTATATTTATATTTATAGAAATGAAGTGAAATCGACTATCACCATGCTGTAAGTCGTGTAACTCCATATTATACGACATAGAACGTAGTTGTATTTCCGAACCGGACAAATAAACACTGTTTATCCAATGCATAATGATAATGATAAATACCATTAACCAAAATACTATGTATAAATAGTTTTCATATAATTCACCTAATTCGTAATCTCCACTGTTTATTTATGGTCATAAGACAAGACTGGTGATCAAACATCCGGTGATCCAAAATTTAGTTTGTATTTGTGATGTCTTACATCATCTCACGCCATCATATATACCTTTTTATAGCTCGAAATGGTACGAAACCAATTATTTAGAGATATTAAAGATTAGAAAAAGTATAATTTCTTTCTAGAAAAATGAAAAAAGGGAAATTTAATTAATAATTGCCTGAAGGATAGATTTAAGGATATATAAAAGGATATATATAAAGATATATATAAGGATATATATAAAGATATATATAAAGATATATATAAAGATAGATATAAGGATAGATATAAGGATAGATATAAGGATAGATATAAGGATAGATATAAGGATAGATATAAGGATAG